GAGTAGTCATGCATGATTTAATTGAACCTATACAGTGGCACTGACAAGGTGAGGAGAATCATAAAAGGCTTCAAAGGGGAATAGTGTTTGAGCTGAACTCTAGAGCAGGCATTAATTAGGAAATGGAGGAAGTGTTGCAAACAGAAGGGAAGCATTATGAAGTTCCCAAGGGCAGAAAGGCCATAAGACTTTAAAGAACTCAAGTTGACTTGTGTGCTGGCATCAGGAGAGCAATAGGTTGCACTAGATGAAACTGGTGATGTAGGTGGCAGGGACCAGAATGTGTTATCAATGGTTTAGTCATTATTCGGATAACAATGAAAGTACTCAAAGCCCTAAGCATGGTGGCGTGATATATTTGTGAGGTGGCAAGTATATTTTTGAGTTTCAGCTTTGCTACAGAGTGGAAAACGACTGAAAACAGAGATAACTTTTAAAAAATTAACTAAGAGAAGAAGACCGTCCAGAAGAATAGTGTGTTCCTGAATATTGATAGTGATAGTAGAGTAAAATGGAAAAAATACACATATTCAGATGCATTTTAGACATGGATGATCTCAGAGAAGGGGCTATGATGTGTTACTCTGAATACCCTGGCTTGCACAAGCAGGCATAAAATAAGGTCTATTCTCAGAATAGAGCATGCTGAAGGGCACGTGGCTCTAACATAACGATCATGAATTAAACCTAATATAACTGAATCTGAAAAGCCAGTAAGCCAGTAGGTCATGTAATTGGCAAGAAAGCAAAAATACTTAAAAGTTATCAGAACTTTAAAGAGAGGTCTAGATAAGAATGAACATATATATACACACACACATATATATAAAATCACACTTTTTTTCCTTTATGGTGTGGAATAAGTTTCAGGATCCCTATAGATTAAAAAAAAATCCCTAGATCTCAAGTCTCTAATTTTTTAAATTTTTATTGTAATTTTAGTTTATTAGTATATACATGTAGTACATAATGTTTACTTTCCTCATAGGAAGTTGGTACATGTACATAACATGTCTTAATTCCTTTTTTCATTCCCTTTCCCTTCCCTCCCCTATCTCTGGATCCCCTTCCTTGTTTTCTACGTTTGCAGGATATAATGTTCATATTCCTTATGTGGAGTTGATACATGTACTTAATACATCTCAATTTCCTGTTTCATCCTTTTATCTCTTCCTTCCCTTCCCACTTTATCTCTTGATTCTTTTCCCCTTTGAGAACAATCCATCTCCCTAATATTCTGTTACAATGTATCTTTTATTTTACTTTTTACCATTACTCTGGGTCTCTAATATAAGAGTAACCATGTGATATTAAAGCTTGTGTGTTTAATTTATTTCACTTAACATTACGGTCTCAAGGTGCATCCATTTTCCTACAAATGACTCTAGTTTATCTTTCTTAATAGTAGAGTGATATTCCATCAAGTCTCTTATATAAAGGGGAATGATTTTTCATATTACCTATATACATCCTCTTGAATACTTTAAATCATATCTAGATTGCTTGTGATATCTAATACAATGTAAATTGTATGTAATTTGGTAACACTATTGTTAAGAGAATAAACAGAAAAAAAATTCACACATGTTCGGCACAAATACAATTGTTTTTCCTAGTATTTCTGATCCAAGGTGGTTAAGTCTCTCTCTCTCTCTCTCTCTGTCTCCCTGTCTACACACACACACACACACACACACACACACACACACACATACATACATATATAGAATGTGTGGATATTAAGGGCTATGTGTATAGTCACGTCACTGATGACAAGGATACATTCTGAGAAGTATGTCATTAGGGTACTTCATATTGTATGAATGTCATAGAGTGTATTTACACAAACCAAGATGGCTAGAAAAATCACTAAGTCATATAATCTTATGAGGGCCGGGAATTTGGCTCAGCGGGCCTGAGTTCATTCCCCGGTACCACTAAAAAAAAAAAAAAAGAATGAATGCATATATATATATATATCACACACACATATATATACATATATAACATATATACACACACACATAATGCAACCATCATAAAAATATATAAAAACATGAATGACTTCACTCTATCTATACATGGAACATTCTCTTTCTCTGTTTCTCTCCCACTCTCTATACATGTGCGTGTGTGTGTTTATGCAAATAGTTTATTCAGTTTGCTATTACAAAATATCATAGATTGGATAACTTATAAGCAATAGAACTTCATTTCTCAGTTTGAGGACTGGAACGTTCAAGGCACCAAGAAATTCAGGGTCTGGTGAGTCCCTTTCTTATGGATGGTGTCTTCTTGCTGTGTCCTCACATGGTAAAAGCATCTAGCTAGCTAGCTTTATTTTTTATCAGGGAACTAATCCCAGCCATGGGACCACAGCAGTACCTTTCTCTCTAGATATACATGATTACAACTGTCTTCAGTAATTAGACATGTTATGAATACTGAGAAAAAATATGCATGTGTAAGTAATAAGTGAACCTGTTGCTTAAAACTTATTGAATATTTATTACATGTCAATAGGCCAAGAACTGTCCTAAGTACTACAGATCCAACAGTAAATAAAACAGTTCAAAACCCCTACTCATATCCCTTACATTCTGTAACTTAGAGACAAGTAATAAGCATAAATGATAGTAAGTTATACATACCTTGGAAGATGGTAAATACATGAATAACAAAGCAGAGAGACTAGGATTCTGAGTTCAGCAAGTAGACGTTGCAATATTGCATAAGATGAACAGAGAGGAGATAAATGAGACTAGTAATAGGTAAGAGGCCTGAAATAAATGAGGATGCAAACCATGCTTCTATCTGGAGAAGTGTCCCAAAGGGGCACCAGTGCAAAGACCCTAAAGAAAGCAGAGACCAGGTGTGTTCATGGAATACATCACTGTGCTCATTGCACAGCAGATGAGAAAGGGCATCGAAGGAGTAGAGGAAGTAGTGGGCTACAGGGCACAGGGCCTCACACACCTCTGTAAATATACCAATTTTTACTTTAAGTGAAGTAGACAGTCCTCAAAGGACTGGATTTTAAGATTGTCAAGATATGATTCACATTTTAAAGGAGAATGCTTGGTGTTGAGATTATATTTTAGAGTGGGTGACCATCTGTCCCGGTTTTCCCGAGTCTGAAAGTTTTCCTCAGACAGTAATTTCAGTGCTGAAACCAGGAAATTGCCAGGAAAACTGAGATACTTACTCATACTAAGAGTACGTGAGAAGATCAGCAGTGAAAGGACATAACCACCGAGGAGCCTACTGCAACTATCTCAAGCAGTCATGAGGTTCATGACCAAGATGACAGCCATGGAATTGTAAAGACATGACCATGTCACAGAATTACGCAGTTAGAGAGCTTGGGTTTGAGAGACTAGATAGTATGGTTTGTGAGCAGAAAGGTCAAGGCTTAAACCAAATAAAAGGACTGACTTGGCATTAGCTGAGTTGAGCCAGCCTGGGGATGGTGTAAAATTTTAGAAAGAATGATCCCTTTTGATTATGTTGAGCTTTAAATACACAATAGATATTTAAATGAAGATATTTATTATGCAAGTAGATATATAAACATAGAAGAGGGTCATAAAGTCTGGGTTAAAAATTTACTTTTGGAAGATACCAACAAGGTAATTGCATTTAATTTTGATTCCTGAGTTGATGCTTATAAATTGCTTATGGCAAGTACCTTTATTGCCAATATTCAGAATCCTTAGGAAATGAGTACATCTCAGGAGCATCACCCAGGTGTAGCTAGCTTTCGGATTCTGACTCTGCTGGGGGATCCTACCTCTTCAGTTTATTGGGGATGAGAAATTTCTGCCTACTCGGCCCAGCTGACAATTCTTTGGCACTGGATTATAGGGGTTTTTTTTGTTTGTTTCTGTTTTAAGACCCTTAGTCAATTAGCAGTCTTGTTGTATCAGGAGAAACAAATGATTAGCACAATTATGTTACCTTGCTAAAGTAGTACAATCAACAATAACAATAAAATCTAATACAGCCTAGAAAATGATAAATTAAACCCTTTATATGGCAATTTTACCCTTAGGGGATGTGGCAGTTACTTTTCTCTCATTGCTTAGCCAAATACCCAACACCCAAAGTTAGAGGGGAAGGGGTTTATGGCTTACAATTCATAGAGGTTTCAGCACACAGACAGCTGGAAAGGAACAGGCAGGCATCTCAGAGGAGAAACAACATGGTGAGCACAAGGGCAGGAAAGGCAAGAAGAGTAACAGCATCTTTCTGCCCCTTTTATCTTATCCAAGTTACTGGGATTAGAAGGGTGCCAAATTAATCACTCATGTGCCCTTAACCCCCGCATCACACATTCCAGATTAACTATCTCTAAAAAACAAAGTCCCACCTAATCCACATGAGGCTTTGGGGGGATATCTAAACACAAACTGTAACAGGGAGATTGAAAAAGGGTTAGGGAGTGAAAAACAGAAACAGAAGAAAAGGAAGAGATCAGAAGCAAGGCTGGAGGACGAAGTAGGAAACGGGTGAAGAAGACAGCTGCGAAACAGACCACCACCAACAAAAACTAGACACTGTGTTCAAACAATCAAGAAAAAACAAAAGACAAGAAAGGAGGAAAAAGAAAAAAAAAACCCACAATCGTCCAACTCAAGATGTGTTTTTGCTGTCACTGTTAGGCAATGTGGGCAAACAGACTCCAGAGCCAAATTAATTAATCCCAGAAAGCCAGCTGCAGCTTCACAGTGGGGTAGTGGATAATCCCAGCCAGCCTGCCCCTTTAGTTCCTCTTATATTCAGACCCGTTTCTGGCTCTGAGGCTGGAACCAGATTCCTTGAGCCTACAACAGTCTATGTGTATCCTGCTGACTTGAACTAGGCACCCACACCGAGGCACCAGGAGCCACTAGGCCGAGTCTTCCCGCAGCTGATCTGAGTTCCGAGCTCAGTGGCTCCCTCTCCAAGATGGCTGCCAGGCAATCACCCTCTCCTGGGTGAGGTCTGAACTCATAACTCACCAGCCGCTGCCGTCTGGCGTCTTTCTCCGTGGAGGCCTCTGGGGTCATCGGTAGTCACTGGGTACCTGCAGGTCTGGCCCGCTGTTCCCTCACTGAGAGTCTGGGCTTCAGGACAGAACACTGCTAAGTACCTCCCTCCTCTTTGTCAAAGTCTCTCTCGTCACTCCCTGTAGACTTCAATCCAGCTCCAGGTCCTTCCTGGGTCTGGGGGACCCAGTTCCCTACTCCTTCTCCTCCTCACGCTGCTATATTTCAGTGTACGGACCGCAAATCTCGGAGAGGCTCTTTCTGCGTTGCTCACCACTCCGCCATCTTCCCGGAAGTCCGGAAATTGCATTTAAAGCTGTAAAACTAGGTGAATCATCATGGGATTGGTGAAGAGAGGAAATTTAAGGGCCAGATAAAAATCACCTACGCAAGGTGTATGTAATATAGGGAATGCCAATATTTAAATGTCTAACGTTTTAAAAGGGAAGATGGTCTAGCAAATAAAACTTGAAAGGAGGAAATTAAAGCTATAGGGGTAAAGTTCAGAAAAAAAAAAAAAACAGGAGAAATTTAAAAGTTGATTTACTCCAGTAATTCAGGAAAAATAGACTGTTCTTTGGCTACTGTTCAAAATCAGAACAATAATTAGATGGTCTAGCAAATAAAACTTGAAAGGAGGAAATTAAAGCTATAGGGGTAAAGTTCAGAAAAGAAAAAAAAAAACAGGAGAAATTTAAAAGTTGATTTAGTCCAGTAATTCAGGAAAAATAGACTGTTCTTTGGCTACTGTTCAAAATCAGAACAATAACTGACAGTTGGCCCATAAATCCATCCTATTTGGTAAGTGATAATTTATGTGGTTATAACTGGCTTTAGAAACCACACATTTAAAAGTCAGTCAATCAGTAACAGTCTCATTTCAATAACCAATTTTCCAGACCTCTCGTTTAATATGTCCCTAAACACTCCCACTTCTGAAAATTTCTCAGTCTTTGCACACCATACTTTCCCAAAAGCTACCAAATGTCAAGAAAGACTGTCCATTTCAAGTTTAGTTCCGCCTTATTTAGTATAGAGCACACACTGCTTTTTGTTTCAGATTAATGTAATCTTTTCTTTTCACAATATGTCTCAAAAAGTAGGGAGCAGCCAGAAACATTCATTGTAACTAGGTCAAAGAAGTTAAGGATTAATGGTGATGTGTTTAGGTAGCTTTCTATCTCTGTGACAAAGTATTTAAAGAAAAAAAAACTTAATGGAAGAAATGCTTATTGGCTCATTATTTCAGAGGTTTCAGTTATGGTTATTTGATCCACTTGATTTAGACCTGTGGCAAGACAGAATGTCGTGGAGGGAAGTACCAAAGAGCAAAGTTCTCCCTTCATGGAAGCCACAAAGTGAGGGACAAGATACCACCTTCAGGGATGTATGCCTAAGGACCTAATTTCTCTAGCTAGGCCCTACCTTCTCAATTTCTACTATTTCCCAAGGGCCTATTAAGTTATGAAGCTTCATAATCCAATTGCCTTCTAAAGAGATGCCTTCTGAATACTGCTGCCTTGGGGACCTTTAATACATTAGCCTTTGAGAGACACTTTAGATCCAAATCATAGCAAATAATCAGTGGACTTATCAATATAAAAATTATTGGTAATTTTTTAGAGTGATTTCTATCTCTTGCTGAGGGAATCAGACACAAGTGATGTAAATAGAGAATGGGGATTTATAAAAATAGAAAAAATGAAAATAGAATATATTATTGTTTCTTTAAAATAAGCTTTAGATTTTAGAACAGTATTATACTGCTAGAATAGTAAAATTCTATTATTAGAATAGAAAATAATTAGTATAGTATTTATAGCACAAATGGTACAGAGAGTTCCCATTATAGCCCAAATCAAGTTTTTCCTATTGTTAACATTTTTCAGGAGAGAACACTGTTTTCAAAACTTTCACTCTGAACAACAACAACAATGGATAAGAAAGTAGATGGGAATTCAGGTTATAGAATCTTGTTTGAAAAATAATTGGTTACTTTCACTTGTTATGTTTGTCTATTAGTTTAAGATAAAGCCGATCAGGTAGCTAAACGATGGTTACAGTAATCCTAAAGACAGAAGGAGGATGAAGGTAGACTTGGGAAAGGGGGTACTTCTTAGAACATTTAAGATTGACATCTGTGGTTCTAAAAAGCACTTCTAAATTTAATTTCATTTGGTTGATGCAAAGTAATCTGCCAAAAATATTTCAGAGAAACTCTTGAGTGTTTATTCCATGCTGAAGAATAGATCTGGACATTGTAGCTGAACTTAATACCAGCTCATACACATTGTGGCTAAGAAAGCACCTCTGTATGCCAGTTCATCCATATAATTGAACTTCAAATCCTCTATCCCTTCTCCAAATGCTATTAATTTGACTGACAAGCTACTGTGACTCCCCATAGTCATAAAATGTGAAAAGACAGGAATCTGAAAGACTTGATATCTCTGTCTGACACCTTTCTTTTAGCTCACTTTACTACAGAACATTAGGAAAGGACAAAGGTGAAATTCAGCATTTATTATCAATCTAAATTGTGCTCAAAACATGTAGCCCCTTAAAATGATGGGAAATACACTAATCAGTAACTTTTTTGATTACAGACTAATGGAAGTGATTAATACATTAAATAATGAAATTTTAATCAACATTATCATTTTTAAACTTTCCTCTGAGAAACTTGAGTTAAAAACAAACATTTTTTTTCAGTTTTAATTGAGTTTATTGGTACATTTTGGGGATATGGTACAGTTACATGCATTGTTGGGATCTTGTACCTCTACATTGCAAGTCTTGATTCTCATTTTTTCCCCTTATCCCTGCCCTCCCTTCACCCCCTCCTCCCCTCCCCATCTACAAACACTTTATTTTCGTCTTTTCATTATCTCACATTTTTTTCTTTTCCCTTATTACCCTTCCCCTACACATCCCACCTTCCCTACACCTTTAGCTCCTTTCTTCCCATTTCTAAATGTCAGTAATCTTATTAGAATCTTATGTATTATTGCAGA